TTCAAGAGCAACAGTGCTGGGACCATGTCTCTCCCCTAAACAAACTCTGGGGGCGGCTGAGCACGTTCATCCACCCCTCCCCTCAGATCCAAGGTAACCAAGCAGGTAGATGAACTGATGCCGTTTTCTAAATGTCAGTGCTTAGGAGACATTTCAAGGTCTTTAGCTTTTTCCATTTTCAAATACAAAATCTTAAGTCCCAAAGGGCCAAATTAAAAACTTTCCAGTGAAAACAAGATTTTGGTCTCAGCAGAAGCCATCCCACGGCCTGGGCTAGAAAATGCATCCCCTAAAGCCCCCAGCTTCTTTCTCTCTCAATGGACTCGGTCTGCTGACCTGTGGGCTCTCAACTACATCAAGGAGCTTCCTGTTTGATCAGCCAGTCTGGGGCCACGTTTTGCAAACTAGAGGCTGATCCCCCAGTGGGGGATCAAATCAATTTAATGCATCATGACTATCTTTTCTTTAAAAATGGTATAAAACAAGTAGAAAATACGGGAGCACATCACAATAGTAAGGTCAGTACTGCTTCATGAAATTTCTTTTTTCCATTTCATATATGTATGTCTATAAATACTGCCTTGGAAAGAAACGAGTTTCTTTTACTTTGGGTCATGATCAAAAGAATTTGAAAGCTGTTGGTCCAGAACCTATTAAACACTCTGTGTTCAACTGCTGCTGGAATGGAAACTGGTATAGCATTTGTTGACAACAGCAATATCATCTAAGCATTTGACCCCAAGGCAACAATCACAGGTATGCAAAAAAAAACCAAACAAAAAAAAAGTTAGGCACTAGAATGTTTTCTATAGTATCATTTATAATAAAGAAAATAAATGGCATAATCTAAGGGATTTGTTGACTAAAATATGGTACATCCATGTGATAAACAAAAAACCAAAATTAAACCCACTGTTCTGATTCACAGCAATCCCATGTCTTAGAGTAGAACTGCGCCATAGGATTTTCTTGGCTGTAAACTTAACAGAAGCAGATCACCAGGCCTTTCTACTGCAGTACCACTTCATGGTTCAGACTGATAACCTTTAGGTTAGTAGTTGAGTGCAAACCATTTGTGGCACCTTAAACAAGTGATAAATAGGAGAAGTTATCAAAACTGTACTACAAAGGAATGGTCCGGAAGAGTGTCCATATCAAACTGTTTGGTGAAAAGAGGAGTTTATCAAATTTAATGCACAAGCGATAAAAATAATCTCTGAGAAGTATAATTTTTGTGGGATATATTTACTTTCTTCTTTGTGCTTTTCTATATTTTCAAAAATGTCTACAAAGAACACGCATTATTCTGTAACTGGTAAAAACAGGACAGTAACTGGGATTCCACATACGACCCACTCACAAAGAAGCCACCCTCCAGAGGGCATGCTCACTTGCGGCAATACTGGCAAATATTCACGCTAGTGGCTGAGACCAACAGGACTTCACAGCGCCACCTGCTTAGAGCAGAGGTACAATCAGGTGCCAGATACACTCACGTTTTGGAAAACTGCGTGATTTCCCATCCTAGCCTCTCCTCAAGTCCCTGTCTCCTTCATTAGATGCACTGACATCAAAATTGGTCCCCCAACATGAGCTGTCACGATGGGCCTGTGCAGGCCTCACAGGTAACGACTGCCTGGGCCCAGCCCATGCCTATTCTATGTTGCTCCATATGCCACACATCCTCACACCTTCATCCTGTGCACAGGTGTGCCCTGCCCAGCAGGACCTCCAACCCCCATCTGGAAAGTGTTGCCCATCATTTAGTGCTAAAACAGCACTTCTTCTGGAAGATCCGCAGACCCCGCCGAGTCCTTTCAACCCCTGCTGCTGCACGGAGCCTGCTGCAGTGTGCTAGGCTCTGCACACACCTGTCGATCTGCTATGGTGACAAGCAGAAAGAGACCACGTAGGTTTTTTTTCTCCAAATCCCCAGGGCTGATGGACATCATGGGTACTGTGTCAAGCATTTTATGCTCTCTGTCTCATTTAATTTAACCTCACAACCTCTGCAATGGAAGGTTGTTATCCCCATTTTACATATGGGAAGACTGAGGCATAGACAGGGGAGTAACTTGCACCAAGTCACACCCAGGGTTGTTGGCTCCAAAGAGAGTAAATTTGTGTTTAAACACATTTTTAGGAGCAAGACCTGCTTCATCCTACAGGCTCCTTCATCCTAAAGGAGGGCTCTTCAGTACCCTCTTAGCAGCCCCCAGACTCAGATCCCACATCTCCACTCCCAGAGACCTACTACCTGAAGAAGACGCAGCCTGTGGAAATCTGAACTTCAAGCAATTAGAAGCTGCTCGTGTCTACTTTAAACAAATACTTATGTCTCTCCAAATAGCCCCGTGCTGGGTGGATGCAGGGGTAGGGAGGAGGAGGAAAGGAACAGAAATGAAATCAGGGCCCTGGGCACTCAGGCTGCTGAGCAGCCACCAGGGAGGCTGCCGGGCACAGCGGGGTTGCAGGACCACATTCCATCCTGAAGAGTGGCCCTCCAGTGGGACCCAGGGCAGGCTTCTTAATGGCCACATCTCCTCTATAATATGGAAGGGGGTGGGCCTGGGAGCCAAGGGGAGCATGCCCAGCAGGACCACAGGGTGGCAGAGTGAGGGCTGTGCGCTCTGGGCAGCCCTTGAGGGCTCAGGGTTGACCACGGTCGAACACAGCCTCCTCCAGAACAGAGCACCGGGACCAGGGCTGAGGACAGAGTTGTCGTGAAGGTGCGCTGGATGCAGGAGGGCCAAGGGGAGGCCCCTGCAGCGGGTGTGAAGGCCTGGAGGCCTGCCAGCCCAAGAAAAGTGCAAAAGGGAATGAGCCCAACAAGGAGGGCCAGAGGAGGGGCCCACGGGCAGCACTGAGTGAGAGGGGCCCACGGGGGGTACCGAGTGAGAGGGGCCCACGGGGGGTACCGAGTGAGAGGGGCCCACGGGGGGTACCGAGTGAGAGGGGCCCACGGGGGGTACCGAGTGAGAGGGGCCACGGGGGGTACCGAGTGAGAGGGCCCACGGGGGGTACCGAGTGAGAGGGGCCCACACGGGGTACTGAGTGAGAGGGGCCACGGGGGGTACTGAGTGAGAGGGCCCACGGGGGGTACTGAGTGAGAGGGCCCACGGGGGGTACTGAGTGAGAGGGCCCACGGGGGGTACTGAGGGGGACCCACAGGCTGAGTGAGAGGGGTCCACAGTCTGAGAGGGACCCACGGGCAGTACTGAGAGGGGTCCACAGTCTGAGTGAGAGGGACCCATGGGCGGTACTGAGAGGGGCCCGCAGGTGGTACTGAGTGGACCCTCAGACTGAGTCGCCCATCAGGGTCTACATTACCTGAGCTGGCTCAGTGCCTCCAGCAGTGACCAAACCCCCCCCTCCCCCCACCGTGTCACTTCAGGTCTGACCTCCCACTGCCGACCGGAGCATTCTTGCTCGACCCCAGAAGCCCTGGGTTCTCTTCCCACCACTGCCAGCACGCTACTGTTTGAAGTGGCAGCCACCTCTCTGGAGCTGCAGGTGGGATCCAGACACCTGGCAGGGGACTCCTGACTTGCCAGGTCGCTAGGATGGCCACACCGAGCATTGCCCCAGGCCACCTTGGAGACCTCAGCCCCAGGCCCCACTGAGCCCAGCCGTCACCTTATTTCCCGCTCTCTTTCCTTCCCATGTAGATGCCCACACAGCATGCTCACGGGGACAAAGCCAACGTGTCCCCCACCAAGGCCCCCTCCTCCACACTGTTGTCACGGACACGCCTCTATTAGCCATCTGAAGGTAAGTGATCACCCCGCGGTCACCGTTACCTACGAGAAAAGTACAAGCTGTCCTCTCATACCTGCCTGCGTTGTTCACAGGGGGGAAGCCCTCCAGCTTCTGACCGAAGCTGCACCGCCATGAAGACGCAGCCCCCTCAGCCCTCTGCACCCCTCCCACGCTGGTGTGGAGGCCGGCTGTAGGCTTGTCAGACGCAAGTCCGCCTTTTATTTTCTATGGCTGCACTTGACCTACTCTTGACCCCTGCTTCACTGGCTGCAAAAACTCTTCATCCCTGCTTCAAGTCTAGAGCCGCTGTTTTCAGGCTAATATTCAGCCAAATTCAGAATTAAAATTCAGATCAAAGTCCCAGCAGGGGCGCCCTCTGCCCACCCTTCTCCAGGAGGATGATCTAGAGCTTCAGTAGCCACTGCCCCATCCCTGCTTCCGTGGGTCAGGCACTGCAGGTCGCCCATGGGGTTCCATCTGGGGCCGAACCCTAGGTGCCACCACAGCTGATGCCTGTGGTCTTGTCATGCTATGAAGTCACAGGCCACAAACCCCACAGTCGTGCCCTCAGAGAGCCCACAAGGGTCCTCTCCCCTCCAGCTCTGGGACCCCACAGGGGGCAGAAGCTCCCAGCATCCTGCAGGTGCCTCCGCGCTCAGGGTTGTGGGGGAAGAGGGCATAACTCCCACCGTTCCCAGATTCTCCCCCAACTCACCGAAGATTCACATGGGAGTTCTCACATCTTGAGCCCCCTCACCCCACAATTCAGCTTGAGGCCCAGAGCAGGGGACACCCCAGGCGGTCGCTATACTTGGCACTTCCCTGTGGCTTCTGTCTCCTTCCTCGGGTAGGAAACCCTTGAGGTCATATCCTGCGCTCTCCCCAAGGGGTAAAAAGGCTGGAGCAGAGCTGTGACCGTCACAACCCTGGGGGCGCTTTCCCATGTCCAGAGCCACCATCAACAGAAATGGTATCTGCTGTGGGATTCCATGGGCCAGGCACTGCAGGCCAAGCATTTTACAGACATTACCTGTATCAGTCCTTGTAGTACTGAATGAGGTGGACAGACATAGACTACAAGGCTAAGCAGTGTGCTGAGTCACACAGCAGAGTCAGGTTTCCATCTGACTCTGGAGCCCATGCTCCCCTCCCACACGGTGCCCCCCACGAGTGCTGTTCTGTGGAGACCCCAGCAGCTGTAGCGCCCCTCTGTCCCCGCGGGCCGCCCAGCCTGGCCTCACCATGCCTCCAGTGCACTCTGGACAGTCCTGCAAGCAGCTGACATTCTCCCAGGTACTGCAGGCCTTCAGGCCTGCCACCAGAGCCTGCAGTGGGCGGCTGCTGACGAGCTCCTTCCCGTAGAAGATGTCCTCATCCAGGAGGACCCCAGCACACCTGTGAGGAAAAGCAGAGACGTGGACAGATACAGCAGCACACTCAGCACCCATGAGAAGGAACACAAGAAATGACCAAGGCATGCAGTCATCTGAGGTAAACCATCAGACTGAAACCTGCACCTCCCTCAGTCCTTCAAAGGTTCTGCGTGCCCGTGATGGTCAATTTTATGTGTCAACTTGGCGAGGCTATGATTTCCAGTGGATTGGCCAAAGACTAGACTAGCTGCTATTCCACAATGTAGTCTAACGTAATGTAATGTAATCACTTTCCACAATGTAATTTAATATAATTAATCCATCAGTTGAATGGGGAGTTTCTTTAAGGTGTGGTCTGCCTCCAGACTATAGTTAGATATTTTGGAAGAACTCATTCTCTCTTTCCACTTTGTACTCTTTCCCTTGCCCGACCTACAGACCTTGGGGTGCAAGCCTGCAGAAGTTTCTAGCCTTCCAGCTGACCTATGGATTTTGGACTTGAGCTAATCCTTGAAGTAAATCAATCTCTTTCACTCTCTCTCTCTCTCTCTATATATATATATATGTGTGTGTGTGTGTATATATATATATATATATATATATATATATATATACATGGTTCTGTTTCCCTAGATAACCCTAAGATAGTGCCCTTCAAAACTGTCACTGTGCACCATGGCCATATCTGCAGCCCTGAGCCTCCACCTCACCATTCTCCCCTTGGCAAACCTCTCTCTCATTTTCTGTCCAAGTATAATCTGGCATCATTGCTATGTCAACATTTGTCTTCCCACCCCTTGACCCAATACAAAGTGGACATTACCTATAACTCTTGCCATATCTTGACTTACAAAAGTTGAAGATCCTGAGATGGGAAGATGATCCTGGATTATCTGGGGGGGCCCAATGTAATCACAAGGGTCTTGTAAGTGAAAGAGGGAGGAGGAAGGTCAGAAAAGATGTCACCATGGAGGCAGCGTCAAAGTGATGTGAGAAAGACTTGACCATCCATTGCTGGTTTTGAAGATGGAAGGGGGCTACAAGCCAAGGAAAGCAGGTGGCCCCTAGAAGCAGGTAAAAGCACAGAAACAGATTTTCCCCTGGAGCCTCCATAAGGAACACAGCCCTGCTGATACCTTGATTTTAGCCCAGTGAGACACATTCAGATTTCTGGCCTCAGAATTATAAGATAATCAGTTTATGTTGTTTTAAGCCCCAAGTTTGTGGTAGTTTGTTACAGCAGCACTAGAAAACTAATACAAATTGTGAGCAACTTCATCCTTCAAAATGTTAAGAGTCACCATTTTCCCTCATTTCAGCCACCTGACTTTTCCTCAAATAAGTTGGTGTCAAGTGCTTTATCTTCAATCTTACTAATTCTGACTTCCATTGCCTCAATTCTGCTCCTATGACTTTCTATTGAGTTGTCTATTTCTGAAATTTTATTGTTAATCTTCTGGATTTCTGTTTACTGTCTCTCTATGGATTCTTGGAGCCTGTTAAATTTGTCATTATGCTCTTCTATAATCTTCTTAAGTACCTCTATTTCTTTGTCTGTGTGTATCCTGGCTTGTTCTGCATTTTGCCTGATCTCCTTCCTGGTGTCTTGAGGAGTTCTGTATATTAATCTTTTGTATTCTACCTACAGTAATTCCAATAAGTTCTCTTCCTCTTGAAAATTTCTTGATTCTTTGTTTTGGTTGCTTGCTGATGCCATCATGGTCTGCCTCTTTACGCGATTTGATATTGACTGTTGTCTCCAAACCATCAATAAGTTATTATATCTATTTATGTTTGCTTACTGTGTCCTAGCTTCTTGTTTTGTTTTGTTCTGATATGCCCAAATAGGCTGCTCATGTGAGCTAGTTTGATTATTTGTGCCTCTGAAGCTCTAACGTACTGACACCAGGTGGTTAGATCTATGAGCCCAGGAGTCCATTTACTTTTCTTGTATGGATTCAGCTCAGGTGTCCAAGTAGTCGGTTACCAAGTGTGTGGTGCAGGCTCTCACCTACAGTCCTAGAGGGCAGGGGCAACTGGTGTAGGCACAGGTATCTGGCCGCAGTCGGGGGTCACACACTGAGCAAGGCAGGGGGCTGACAGCTGCCCCTGAGTGTTTGGGAGGAAAGTGTGTCCCTGTTCCCTAGAGCACGCAGGTGGGTGAGTTTTGCAGCAGGACTATGGGCACCCAACGCTGTTACCTGTAAAGACTGGGAGGTACCACTTACTCTTGGACCCCTGTCGCAGGTGGCTAGATGGCATGGGTGAAGCCACCAGTCCTCATGCCCCTGATCTGGGTAGGTGAGGGCCCTGCTTAATGGGCAGAGTGGTGTCAAATGTTACAGACCTGCCACTCTACCACATAGCTGATACAGTTGAAGTTAGGCTTCGTGTATATACCCTGTTGTACTGTGCTAATGAGGGCCTAAGCTGTTGAAATGGGCCCACACAGGTCTATGCAGGGGTGAGAGGCATTCAGAGTCCATGGCCCCCTTATGCCTGTGCCTAGGCAAAGGAGCTGTGCCTACCCTGAGTTCCCAGCTTAGAGGAGCTGGCAGATTATTTTTTCCTTTTGTTAACTTGTTCCCTCTCCAAGGCTGGGAGAATGGCTCAGGGTGCGTGACAGGTCCTGCTTCTGGCCCAAGGGATGTGGCAAGTGCAGAGTGGGGAGGGGGCAGGTAAATGGGAGAGATATTTTTCCCAAAGGGGGTGTTTTTTGATCCTTGCAGTAGGTCAGACGCATGTATCTATCTTTTGCCAATTGAGTGCCGCTTTTCACTAGTTCTGGAGGCCCAAGTAGACTCTCTGCCACTTGGTCTCTCTCAATGTGGAAAATGCCTCCCGAGTGCCATTGCTGCCTGGCCTGTCTTAGGCTGGGTTCTCTAGAGAAGCAAAACCAGTAAAGTGTATAAATATATATAGAGATTATATCAAGGAAACAGCTCATGTGATTGTAGAGGCTAGAACATCCCAAGTCCGTGGATCAGGGTAGGGGCCTCTCCCAAGTCACACAGCTGCAGAAGCTGGCAAGCCCAAGATCAGAAGGTCGGAGAGCAGGGCTCCCACTCACAGACTGTGCAGATCGATGAATCCCAGGTTCGGCAGATAAGCTGACACCTCAAGTCCCAAGAACAGGAGATGAGACGACAGGAAGCAGCTGCAGGATCCAGAGAGAGCAAAAAGCCAGAACGTCTGCCTATATACAGATGTGGGCCACACCCCCAAGGAGACTCCTTTCATCTGATTGGCTACTCACAGTATATTCAGTCATGGGAGGGATTACATTAAAACACGGAGAATCATGGCCCAGCCAAGCTGACACACAATCTTAACCATCACATTGTGCATGCCAGCAGATCTGGCCTGAAAGCTGCCGGCTCCTGCCACGTCAGGTCTGGCAACTCCTTGCTACTTCCGAACTGTCTCTCCCTCCCCCTGCCACTCAATCCGATTCCTCAACTTTGTCTTTGATGTTCAGGGCTCTTAGATTGTCATATATAATCAATTCACTTGTTTTTTTGGGGGGGTCTTTGTTGAAAGAGGGACCACCAGAAGCATCTGACTACTCCATTGTCTTGGCCCCGCCTGTGAGTTGCCCTGGCTCTTCAGAGTCCTCCACAGCTGCACAGAGGAAATGCTGCCACCCTTAGTCCACAGGATATGGCAACACCAGGCCCGGGGTCTAATGCTACCCACAGAGAAAAGCAAAAGAGTGCGTCATTTGATTTCTTGACTGCTGCTTCCATGGGTTTTGATTGCAGATCCAAGTAAAATGAAATCTTTGATGACTTCAGTCTTTTCTCCATTTATCATGATGTTACTTATTGGTCTAGTTGTGAGGATTTTTGTTTTCTTTATGTTGACGTGTAATCCATACTGAAGGCTGTGGTCTTTGATCTTCATCAGTAAGTGCCTCAAGTCCTCTTCACTTTCAGCAAGTAAGGTTGTGTCATCTGCATAACGCAGGTTAATGAGTCTTCCTCCAACCCTGATGCCACATTCTTCTTCATATAGTCCAGCTTCTTGGATTATTCACTCAGCATACAGATTGAATAAATATGATGAAAGGTACAACCCTGATGCACACCTTTCCTGACTTTAAACCACGCATTATCCCCTTGTTCTGTTCAAATGACTGCCTCTTGATCTATGCACAGGTTCTGCATGAGTACAATTAAGTGTTCTGGAATTCGCATTCTTCCCAATGTTATCCATAGTTTGTTATGATCCACATAGTCAAATGCCTTTGCATAGTCAATAAAACACAGGCAAACATCTTTCTGGTATTCACTGCTTTCAGCCAAGATCCATCTGATATCCTCTTCTGAATCCAGCTTGAATTTCTAGCAGTTCCTTGTCGATATACTGCTGCAACCGCTTTTGAATGATCTTCAGCAAAATTTTACTTGCATGTGATATTAATGATATTGTTCTATAATTCCCACATTGGGTTGAATCACCTTTCTTTGGAATAGGCATAAATATGGATCTCCTCCAGTCGGTTGGCCAGGTAGCAGTCTTCCAAATTTCTTGGCATAGACCAGTGAGCACTTCCAGCGCTGCATCTGTTTGTTGAAACATCTCAGTTGGTAGTCTGTCAATTCCTGGAGCCTTGTTTTTCGCCAATGCCTTCAGTGCAGCTTGGACTTCTTTCTTCAGTACCATTGGTTCCTGATTATATGCTACGTCCTGAAATGACTGAATTTCAACCAATTCTTTTTGGTACAGTGACTCTGTGTATTCCTTCCATCTTCTTTTGATGCTTCTTGCGTCGTTTAATATTTTCCCAGTAGAATCCTTCAGTACTGCAACTTGAGGTCTGAATTTTTTCTTCAGTTCTTTCAGCTTGAGAAATGCCAAGCGTGCTCTTCCCTTTCAGTTTTCTAACTCTGGATCTTTGCACATGTCATTATAATACTTTACTTTGTCTTCTCAGGCTGCCCTTTGAAATCTTCTGTTCAGCTCTTTTACTTCATCATTTCTTCCATTCACTGTAGTTACTCAATGTTCAAGAGCAATTTTCAG